AATCAAGATGAAACATGGACAAAAGCTCTCAAATATACTTTGACAAATGCTAAGTGGATTTTAGCTTACGCTTCATCATCAAGTCACGATTGGGGAAAAAACAAATAGAAATTATGTGAAACACATACAGTATATTGTATAGCATTTATATTTTAATTAGTAATTGGATTATTATTCTTATAATCTTCAAGCCTTTGTAAATTTACTGGTTATTATATATGGATATACCATACTTTGTCAACTTGAAAGAACATTACCACAAAACCTAAATAATATTAGAAGAGTAAACATTCACTGTTTGTAGGATTAATCGAAGGTAATATGTTCAAATTTAATATGAAGGAAGGACAACAAGAAAATGAATTAAAGGGAAGCTTATGTATATTTGACTCAATGTATAAAATTTTAAAAGAATTTTGTTTGTAATATCAAGATATCTAAATTGTACTTTTATTTTACTGACGTTAGAAATTAATTTACTTGTTTGATCATATGCAACATACATACAGTATATATATAATATTTTTCTTTAATTCATAAATTATATTATATCAAATATAATAAAACACATTATCAGATATAAACAAAAACTTTAAATTCCATTATATTGGATATACTGTATACTGTATAATACTGTGTAATGGTCAATCAATTTTTTAAATTATGTAATTAAGACTTTAAAAATCTCAATTTAATAAAGAATTATTTTAATTCTAAATAAGAATATTTCTATAACAAATTATAATTTATTAATCTACTTAATATACAATAGTTTTTTTTGCTCGTGCTTATTAAAGTTCTTATGATTTTGCTTTGCTAAATATAATAAAAAATCATTGCATTATATATACATTATACTCAACCATATAAATTTTGTTTTATATTTAAATATTCTTATCAATTTTTTGAAAATTTTAAATTATTAATATTTTTTTATTTTTTAATAGCAAATGAATATTAAATATATGATTTTTATTAAATATTTTTATATTTGATAATATACTAATTAAATTTTATTTAAACATTTTATTATTTTACATTTTTAATTCATATAATTATAAAATTAAAGATTATATATATACAGTATGTTACAAAAAAAATGACACTTATATTTTTCATTATAACTTAATAAATAATTATTAAAAATTTATAAATATTTATAAATATATAGTTAAATATCTTATAAATAACTCTACTTAATACTATTTTAATCAATATATTAATATTTTTTAAAATAATTTAATTTTTTTACTCTTTTTTATATATATTTTATATATATATAAAGTGGTCAGAAATAGATAAAAAAAAAATATTTTTTTTTAAATTTGATTTTTTAATAAAATTTTTTATAAAAATAAAAATATATTTTATAAATATTTTTAACCATTTTTAATATTTTTATATATTATTTTTTAAATAAATTTATTAATTAAATTAAAAGTTATAATTTTTTTAAAAAAATTTTTATAATCTTATTTTTGAATTAATTTTTTTAATGATATCTTTAACTTTAAAACAAAATATATTAAAAAATTCTTATTATTATTTACAATTATTTAATTGATTTTTTTTTATTATATCTTCAAAAATAAATTAATAAAATATTAAATTATAAAAAAAATTATTTATGAAATTATTAATTAAAATATAATTATAAAAAAAGTGTCATTTTTTTTGTAACATACTGTATATACTTTATTTTAATTTATATAAAATAAAAATAAAATAATAATAATATTTATTCTCAAGTTCTTATAAATAGTAATGAATTAGTATATTTGTTTGAATTATTATTATTAATTTTTTTTTTTTTGAAAATATTTTTATTATAAAGATTATAATTGTTATTAGTAAACAAATAAAAAGTTATTCATGTATTTATTATAATTATAATTTTTTTTTTAAGAAAATATTGATTTATTAGTTTGTTAATCTAATTAAATATCAAGTAGATGATACAAACCAATTGTTAATTATTTTTAAAAAAAAAATTGCAAGTAATGCGATTTCAAAAATATTTGTTGGCAATACATTAAAAAAAAAAGATGCATTTTAACTAAATTTGTACTAAACTTGTTATGAACAGATCAAAAGTTCTATTAAAATCAATTATCAAAGTCATGACACGCATATATGTACGCATGATTGAATGAAGTGAAAATTGCTATAGTCAAAGTTTTGTAACCTAATCGTTTCTACGAAAATAAATCATGCATGTGGACTAAAAAAAAAAATCAAAAAATTTACGATGTGTGATCCATTATTCCAGGTAACATGATTTACACGAGTGCGCAAGAATCCACTACTGAGTTTAACTACTATTAGTTTAGTGAAGTGGTACTGTCTAACTATCATATCATCAATCAACATATGTAAATAAAAATAAAAATAAAATAAAATAAAATAAATAGAATAAACATAAATAAATACAAGAATGAATGTCACACCAAAATTCGCCTCAAATATCCTTTCACTGTAGTTTTTTTTTAATCTGTATATGTGTAAATTTGGTATTGTTCCGTAAGTAGAATATATATATATCAATTGATATAAGCGTATCAGAAAAAAAAAAAACATTAAGGTGTGACTGTGAGATTACTGTGAGAGCAATCCATAAATTACACTAAAATTAATAAACAAAAGTTGCAGGGATGTCGGCATGAGCAACAGTTCGTCGCTTTGTCATTCATGCTTTATGTGTAAACTAACCGATTATTATTTGAATGATCGCTTCTCATTATCTCTTGCTAATTAATGTATACTGTATACGTATGTATATTTTTTTTTAGCATATGTCTGACGCTCCAACATCTTACTTATTCGAGTAAAACATGCAATTTCATTACGTATTGTTTTGCTGAGCGAAGGCAACTTCTTTTTCTCTCTAACGGCTGTTACTATTGGCAAGAAACGCACGTACATACGACACCTTATTCGCTCGTCATGGTGTTTGACGCAGAGAGTCAATCATCATAGCATTATAGTTTTATAGCAGTTAAGCGACCATATAAGTATCATCGCCAAAAGTAAATTCGGTGTCCACCTATAATCTACACATAATTTGTCATATACAGTAGAGTTCAATAAACTCGGCTGTGTAATATATTGCATAAACTTGGCATTCCAGAGAATGTAACGAATATTACAGAAGGGGAAAGGCAGTTTTACTCGGAGTTTCGCTGACAATCTTTTTCAGCTGCGTTATATCGTTATTCTAAAATTTATATACAATAACTATAATACTATGATAAATATACATATCTGATATATAAACCACATTTGGATCAATATTTGGATCTATATTGGATCACTCTCTGGATCTGTGAAACATATCTATGCCCACACATCTTACGCACTTAGTGGCGGTGACACTACGCACCGAGTCCTGCCACTTGATCGTTGCCAAACTTTTTTTGTCTTATTAATATCTGTTTTGATAAACTCTTTTTTTTTTTCCCTTAACCCCTTTGCACCCCACCTAGCACAAGTGTCAACATACAAACTCCCTTTTGTTATTTTAATTCCTTGATAATCCTCATTATTAAGTGTTACGCTTTCGCTTTTGGCTTTTCTTTTCGTATTTTTTTTTTTTTTTCGTCCCTTTCAATCTTGCATTACTCACTGACTCTTAGGCGGAGTAAACATGTCGTCTAACGGTCAACTCCAACCTTGTTTCGCAAAACTCAGTCAAATAAACGAGCAAACATGGCTACAGATGGGTGAGTGATTTGTGTGCACCGATGAAAGGATGTCGTTAGGGGTATAGAACATTTCGAGTTTTTTGTAAATTGTTACCCCCAGAACATTTACTTTATTGTGTGAAGAGGCTTCTTATGTTTAATAACGTGGAAAAGTCGTCAAGTAATCTCAAGATTATGGTTTTATTATTACTTGCGGGTTCGAATGTGCATACATGACATCGCACTAAATATATTGTCGGAAAAAAAATTTTTTTTTTCCCACCTCAAGCTTCCACGTTGATATGCTATTAATTAATTTATTTTTATTTATTTATTTATTATTATTATTTTTTTTTGTTCTCGTGCATGTCATGGCTACATATTTTTTTTTACCTTTGTTAATTATTCAACATTTTTTTATTTAGGTGCCGCTGCCGAATTGATGCAGGATTATGAACGTGCCATGAGTGCTTATGAGGCAGCTTTGCGACACAACTCATATTCAATTACTGCTTTATCAAGTATTGCTGCTCTTTACCGTGGAAGAGAGCAGTTTCCCAGGGTGCGTTTTCTTCTTTAAGAACAGTTCTTGTTTCGTGATTTTCATTCATTATATTTGCCTATTTTTAGGCTGTCGAATATTTCCAAAGAATATTAAATATTGATCAGAATAATGGAGAAATCTGGGGTGCTTTAGGTAATGTTTCCATCAAACTATTTGATGTCGTACCTTGAATGATTTTCATCGATTAGGTTTGTCACGTGTTCTATGTCACATTGCCTATCTATTCTTGATTTAGCAAAATAATCATATGCGCTTATTTAGAAAGATGCATAGCATACATGATCTCATTTGAATACCCATCTTGCTTTTTTTAAATAGGTCATTGCTATTTAATGATGGATGATCTGCAAAAGGCGTATAGCGCTTATCAACAGGCTCTCTATCATCTTCCTAATCCAAAGGTGTGAAGATTTTTTGATGTCATCGAAAATATCGATAATTGGTTGTAAATTCTAATGTTTCTTTACCTTTCTCAAGGAACCCAAACTTTGGTATGGAATTGGTATTTTGTATGATCGCTATGGATCTTTAGACCATGCAGAGGAAGCATTCTCTCAAGTAATGAGAATGGAGCCGAAGTTCGAGAAGGCAAATGAAATCTATTTTAGATTGGGAATTATATACAAGCAACAACAAAAATATGAACAAAGTCTCGACGTTTGTATTCATTTTGACCCTCTCGAAATAATTGTTTTATACCACATAATTTTTGCGATTGCATTCATCTAAAAATCTATTTTTTTTTCAGTGTTTTAAATATATTCTTCGAAATCCACCGAGACCTTTGACGGAAGTAGATATTTGGTTCCAGATCGGTCACGTACACGAACAACAAAAGAATGTGTGTATAAGTTTTAATTCGTATTTTATTTTTAAAAATCGCTGCTATTACCAACTAAAAGGTATCGATCTTATTTTCAAGTTTGCGGCTGCCAAAGAAGCTTATGAACGAGTCTTGGCTGATAATCCAACTCACGCAAAGGTTCTTCAACAGCTTGGCTGGCTTTATCATCAGCAGAGTGCTACTTTCAGTAATCAAGATTCGGCCATCAGCTATCTAACCAAATCTTTAGAATCTGGTAAGTGGTGCATAATGACCATTCTTTTTTTTATGACCTTGATCTATTTTCAAATCGTTCGCCATCCATTCATCCATCCTTCTTCCATTCAGATGGCACTGACGCACAGTCATGGTATCTTCTTGGACGTTGCTATATGGCCCAACAAAAATATAATAAAGCTTATGAGGCTTATCAACAGGCCGTGTAAGTGTTGTAAGATATCTTCATTCCTGTTTTGGCGCATACAAGCTTCCAGCTAAATATTATATGCATATGTATTGTATTAGATACCGTGATGGTCGTAACCCTACTTTTTGGTGCTCAATTGGTGTTCTCTATTATCAGATCAACCAAGTAAGAATTTTTTTTTTAGGTTCATAAGTTTGCGTTATTATTATTTTTTTTTTTTAAAAAAACCCAATTTTTTCTTAATTAGTTCCGAGATGCTTTAGATGCATACAGTCGCGCTATTCGTTTGAATCCCTACATAAGTGAAGTATGGTATGATCTCGGAACACTTTACGAATCTTGCAACAATCAAATCAGTGATGCTTTGGATGCATATCAACGTGCTGCGGAGCTGGACCCTACAAATCCTCACATTAAACAACGCTTGCAAATGTTAAGAACTCAACAAGCGCAAGGAGGACAAACCTCTGCGCCAATACCTCAAGACGTTAATCCTCAAGCTTATCAATCTAACAATGGTCCCTCTCAAATGCCACCATTTGCTCAACCATCACCGGGCCCACAAGGCCCTCCTGGTATGCCAAATTATGGTGGTAGGTCTGTTGACAATAGACAAAACCATCCACCAATCCCTCTTCATAACAGCGGCGATAGTCATCGTGACTTACCCCCTGTGAATAGAAGAAGCCCTGGACCTTCTAATCCGTACGGTCATCCACCATCTCATCTTCGTGATCCCAATCCGTCAACACCACCTAATCACATCCTCAATCCTTTAATGTCACCGCACGACCAAAGGCCATTGACTCCTCACCAACCGCCACCATTGCGTCACAACCCAGACAAGCGTACCTCTCCTTCTCCGCAACTTCCACAGATTCAAGAAGACAGACGTCCTCCCAGGCATTCACCTCAGCTTCCTGAAACCTATCAGCCGAGGCCAAACTTCCCTTCACCGCGGATGCCAATGACTGAACATGGTAATTCTCAACATTCAAGTTATCCGCATTCTTCACATCACGAATTCCCCCCTCCTCATCACTCTACAACTGTTGTTGACCATGGTCGTGAATCAGATATGTATGACCACGGAAAAGGAAAACCTGAGGAAAGAAACGGCAATGGAGTTCCCCCTTATCATAGTTCAGAGCCTCTCCCATCGGCACATGAATCTCTTTCACACCACAGTGGCCGCGAATATCGAGATTCGTTAGATTCAATAATTAAAGCGAATGATTCTCACCGACCGGTTGATCACTCGAGAACCCCGGTCACACGCCCGATCGTCGATCATAACGATCCCAGGATGCAAGAGGGGTCGATTGATGAAAAGGGCATTCCGCCATTTTCTTCTTACCATCCAGATGAACATCAAAGGCGGCTTCCTGAAATCAAAAATCCCGATCCGCCTTCCCAGAGACAAGCTCATTCGGAATCACCTGTTAGAGAGAGCAGTTCGTACGCTAACGATCAACATAGTCCTGTTTCAAATATTCCTGTTGGTGAGACGCCGAGAAAGTCTTCAGCGGACCAACACTCAAGTCGACCTGAAATTTCGCGAGAACTTCATAAAATCCCATACCCGGACGAATCAAGTCCCACCGAACCAAGGTCACCGAATCTGTCACGGATAATGGATAACAATAATAATTCTAATTCTCCAACTAGTCCTCTCGAAAACGACAATAAGCCTGTAGTGTTACCGGCCATGCGTACCACGCCATCTGTCAATGAGCGCTCGTCAGTGTCTAATTCTGCACGTCAAGTGGACGAAGATTATGATGGAACGGCACCCGTCGATTCTTTACCGAGTATCGGTGATGGTGGTGCGTCAACTTCATCAGCCGCACAAAAACGGTCTTACTCTCCAAAAGGCGATGATCTTGATGATCGTCGAGATGAAGGTACTGCGAAAAGAATTAAACCATCCCCAAGAGATGAAGCACAATCACCTATATCGACACACTCAGAACGTGAAAGAGAACAACAGGAGAGGGATCGGGAACAACGCCAAAGGGAAAGGCGAAAATCTGAACAAAGTGCTAATGGTGGTAGTACTACTCATTCGCCTCGTAGTACACCTTAACGCACTTTGGAACATGCGTATTATTTCTTCTTTTTTTTTTTGTACATAAGTTGTTTTTTCAACGCTTTCTACCCTTTTCTTTTCCAATGTTTTTTTCTTTATCTGGGGAGGCTATAGTGATTTGGAAATCATGTGGGAATGCTACGATTAAAATTTGATGGTTAAGTTTATATATTTTTTTCAATTTACATGTGTATACAGGATAAAAGCGACAAAACATTAATCAATTCACGTATTAGTGCTGGTCAGAGAGTTTGCATAAAATGAAAGAGAATTGTGCAAACGATACGCGATATTTGAGCATTTATCTTCGCGTGTATAAAATGTATGTAATGAATATGAATATGAATGTTTCTTTTTTTTTTTTTTAATGACGATTAGGCGATCAGAATGTACACG